CATTATTATATATATACAAACACACACACAGATATAGTATGTTACATAACTCACGGGCAGCGAGGATAGAGAAGAAACGGACACAAAAAATAATAATAAGCAAACGGAAAGGACACCGCCCGTCGTTTTACATATTCTGTTTATTGATTTTTAATCGTTCGCTAAACCGTTGATTTCAATTTACACTTTCAATAAAATATCATTTTCTTTTATACAATTTCTAATATTGTAGGTTATGATATATTATTTAAGATTTTAGGTTAGATTTAATAACAAACGATGTCATACCAAACGTTTAAACTGGTCTAAGAAAAAAAAAATCTAGAACTAGGTTAAAATATGTTCGTTTAGATCAGTGATTCTCAAACGGGAAACATATTTGGAAGGTCGTTGAAAAAATTGATGACAGATCAAACCTGGATGTTTTTTTTACATAGACTCATTCTTCGGGAGGTCGAAGAAATTTGTTTAAGAACAAAAGGGGGTCGCGGACCAAAAAGTTTGAGAAACGCTGGATTAGATCAGACTTGGTTTGATTAGCTTAGATCAGGTTTACTCAATTTAATTTACTCAAGAAAATTGAACAGAATATTTTTTATCTTATACAAATTATTTTTTATTATATAAAATTCTTTTCTTTGTGTTTTATGAATGAAGAAATTTGTTGTCATTTCATTGTCAAGGTTTACATTTTTTTTAAATGAAAAGTTAAATATGCAAGATTTCATGTCAAATAAAAAAGTAGGTTCAAGTATTTTTCCTTGTGGAACTCCGGACACAATGAGAACGAGCGACTGAAATAATATACAACAATACTTCGCATAGCGTGGTTTCGAACAGTTAGGATATACCTTAGTCCGGTTTGAAACTTTATAAACAAACTAAATTTCAATTAAGCCCCAAAAAAAAATTAAAAAAATAGTACACAACTCACTGACATTCATAACTTTTTAGAAGTAAACTGAACAAATAAGAACTAAAATAGATAAATAAACTTTCTGATTTTACTTAACATTTTCAATTACAGTTTATAACTATTTAGTAAATTTGGTGAATAATAGGAAAAATAGGCTCTAGAACCCTCCAAAGTGGAGTATTAAATGTAAACTTCTATTATATTTTCGGTATGTCTGTAACTTATTTTATAAGATTGGTAAATACAAATACAAAAGTTTGCTGAGTTGGCTGAAAAAAAACCAATTTTAATATATTAAATTTTCATCCTTATGTGATTTCTCTACATAATTTCCATTTATTTCAATACATTTCAATACATTTAGTAGAGCCACCTTTCAAAACATTACAAAATCGGCTTTTTGGAGCTTTTCTACATATAATTAATCTCTTCATTGAAACTGAAGACTCTTCATTTCAATTTTTTTTAATTTTTGGAAACAGACAGAAATCACAAGGTGCTGTGCGAATTTCATTGATGCCAGAGAGCGCAAGAAAGTTGTTGGTTATTTCAGTAGTGTGAGTGGGCGCATTATCGTTTCCCAACATTTTTTTTTTCGAGTGAGATAGCAGCTACCACTTTTACCCTGGTAGAGAAAATTGATATCATCACTTTTGTTGCAGATTTTTGTTGTCTTGCTGTATGGATAGATTTGCACCTTCTGCGCTCTATACCGTGGACTGCTGCTTGGTTTCCGGGTCGTACTTGTAGTACCAAAGTTCATCACCTGTTACGATTTTACTAAAAGTTTCTAAGAAATATTCGGCAAAACGAACACGTGCCTTTATTTGGTCGTCATTTAAAAATCCTGGAACCCATCGAGCGGATTTCTTCGTGCAGCAATGTTTGCCTTTACCAGGGCTAAATTTGTATCATTGGTTGAAGATTTTGGGGAACCTTCACTATGTTCGTCCACCACAGAAAAATGTCCGGTCTGAAATCTTTTAAACCACTTCAAAATAGTCACAAGGGATGATGCATTCACTCCATATATTGTAACGTGGTAAAATAGACAACGCTGCAAGTGCGCTCTACGTTGCAACGGCGAAAGAAGACGGTTGAGGTCTCCAGTTGAGAAGACATTGATATATATTTGTAAGCTCCAAGAGGACGGTGTTGGTGCTCTAGAGGAGCTAAGGCCCACCGTCGGAGAAGAAGTGTGCTGATCTGAGAAAGCAATTATAAAAGTTCTTCCTCTTGATAAAAGGAAGTGGCGCCCTGAACCTTCCCACGTCACGGACTCACGCCCTAGCCGGCTGCAGATTTGTATATCTTGTTTTTTTTTGTACACGAGCCCTATCGTGTTACAATATATTTTGGCATTCCTGGGAAATGAATTAATGCCAACTTAGCGAAGTTTTGTTAGACCCTACGTAATAGCAAAAATAGAACCTAGTACACTTTCTTGAGGAACAGCTGTTTATATTGAAACTAGAGAAATAAACATAAATTTTTAGTGCTTTTTCTTGAGGAACATTTTGCTCTATCCCAAGTAAAGCAATAAATGTAAATTTCTATTATATTTTCGATACATCTATAACTTCTTTTATAAGATTGGTAAATAATAGCAAAAATAGAGCCCAATATAGTGTCTTGAGAAACACTTGTCTCTGTCCAAAGTACAGAATTAAACTTACATGTCTATTATATTTTCGGTACGTTTAGAACTTATTTTATATGGTTGGTAAATAATAACAAAAAAATAGGACCTAGTGCACTTTCTTAAGGAACACCTGTCTCTATCCAAAGTAGACCATTAAACAAACGTGTCTATTACATTTTCGGTACGTTTAGAAGGTTTTTGTATAAGATTTAGACCTTCTGTATAATATAAATAATCACAAACTATTATCGAAAAGAACGTAAAATTATGTAAACAAATCTTATACATTTTTTTTTGCACTGTTTCCTCTCATTCTGTTTTCACTTCTCGCGCTATTATCCCACATCTCGCTCCTCCCGTGTATCCGAATCGTCGAATTTATTTATTTTCGGAGCAATTTATTAATGGCCAATAAATTGCGAACGCGTTTATTCGCGCATTAATTTCGGCGCTTTTCGCATAAACAATAATCGCATTGCATAATAGAAATCTAGCAAAATGGTATAAGTAATTACGTATATATTAATTAATGCACGCATAATACAATAATTGCAACAGTTTTGCTCAATTGATGTTTTTTTTCTTGTTATTGTTGCTTCGGGTGTCCAAAATGCGATGATTCAATCATTCATTGTTCGATCCATCGATTCAGAATTAATTACCATAGCAATAATATTTATGTAGACCTCATTTATCGCCGATTAACGCTGTTGTTGTTGTAGTAGTATTTGTTGCGTTGCAGTTCGAAATCGTGAACTGCACTTTCATTGTGTTCATCGGCGACTGCGCCATTTATCTTTGTAATATTTGTTTGTTCTTTTTCGAATGCAATTGTATAACTACAGTACTATTCGCGATGTGAATAATTAAAAAACGAATGGCTCGATTATTCATCGTTTATAATAATTTTCTAATACGATTAACCCAGTCTTTAAAAGGTCACACAAAATGGATTGAAACTGAGTTCAAGTAATTGAATTAACCTGAAAAATGTAGCACTAATGTTCTAATATTTTCATATATAGAATCCATATAGAAACAAATTTAGATGAATTGTTTATAATTAACAGAAGTTTTAAGGAACATATAAATGTTATCATTAAAAATTGATTTGAAAATTGGAATTATAGGTGACTTACAGATTTAAACAGAAATGCCAACTTATAAAGTTCAATAGAACAACTTTTCTAACCTTAAAAATGGTTCAATTGATTTGAAATTTTGAATGTTTTAAAGTGATTAACAAATTGAAACTGAAATATCAACTTATAAAGTATTGAAGTATAATTACAAACCAATAAAACTACTTTTCTAACCTTAAAAGCAGTTCAATTGATCTGACTAACTTAAATTATGAATCTTTTAAGGTGACTTACAAGTTGAAACAAAAATACCAACTTATTATTATAATCTCAAAAATAATTCAATTGATTTTAAATTTTTAAATTATGAATGATTTAAGGTGATTTACAAATTGAAACAGTATTATCAGCTTATAAAGTATTGAAGTATAATTACAAATTAATAGAACTACTTTTCTAACCTTAAAAATGGTTCAATTGATTTGAAAATTTGAAATTATTGATGCTATTTATGAACAAATTAGTATAGACAATATTTGTCTGTACAAGTAGAACTACTAACCTTAACTACTACTAACCAATTTGAAATTACTATTACAAAATTGTAAATAATTGATTATTTGATTATTTTCACTTACATTGTTTTCATATAATTATTAAATAATTTGCAATTTTGAGTGTAAGTTAAGTGCATTCACAATTTAACCAAAAAAGTCATAAATTCTTATTAGTAATAAATATATAAATATATCAAGTAAAAATAACAATTTAAATAGAACACAGCAATAAGCAATAATGAACAACAATAAATCAATTTACAAGTACAAAATAATGAAAAATATGGTAATAATTTTTCATGTAATTTTTTTGATTAGATTGTACAATATCATCATAATTTAGATTTGTAGCTAAATGTATTTAAAATATAAAGAAAATTAAATTCTTATTTCTTTTAGTAATAAATGAACCATGCAGAAAAAAAGTTCTAAAAAAAATACTAAAATAAAATTATTTATTTTTCGAAAAAAAAAAAAAAATACTTTTAAGTTTATTTGTGCACATAGATTTTTGATAAAAAAAAGTTTGATTTGTTGCAATTTAAAGAAACTGTTTCTTAGGTGATACAATTATTTTTATTTTAAAAAATTTAAAGAGAATAATAAGTTAAGAAAATTTGAGTAATCCTGCAGATAGTTATACTGTTTTTCTTTTTATAAAAAGACATAATAAATGTTTTAATTTTGACGGAAATTGGCTCGGATGAGATTGTTTGTAAGAGAATGAGTGAGAACGAGAGAGAAAGAAAGAGTGAGATTGTCGAGAATGTGGAGGAGGCGGAGGGCGGAATGATTATTTATCAGAAAGGATATAAGCGTTTGAAAGATACTCTGCACATGGTGATTCAGACACCGCCTTGAATACAAGAAGCAAAACCCAATGAAATAAATACGAGGTTCCACGCTCCTCCCAGACTCTCGGCTCTCCCGAGTCGCGTGTTGCTCATTACACTTCATTAGTACTAGATTAGTGACGATTAACTCGAGAGAGTGAGAGGATCGATGCACCTCTTCTTCGACGACGACGACGATCGAACGCGCACCGCTCACACGCACACACCTACCACACGCACCGTCGTCATCTTCAAGACCGAAGACCAACTTCTTCAGGAGGAAAAACTCTTTTCAATTGAAATTAACAATATAAATTGAGCGATGAACTCGTCGAGCGTCGACGCAAATTCGCGTTCGGCGAAATTGAAATTCGGCATCGATAGGCTGCTGAGCTCTGATAAACCTAGTGGTAAACATCATCTACATCAACATAGACACCTGGAGCAGTACGGATACGCGAAGAACTCTTCATCATCAACAAACGTCGTCTCCAACAGTTCTGTGATAGTGCCGTGCTCGGATTGCGTTACGTCGATGTTCAGGTGCTGCAGTTTGAGTCCTAGCAACCATCACCATCATCACCATCACCAGGACAACGGCAGCGCGTATCCCGGAATGCCGCCAGGAAGTGTATACACGATGCAGCCGATCCGACCGTTCGCCACAAGACCAACAGGTAGACACACACACACACACACAAACATAATTTTTACCTCCTCTTTCGCTGCTCACCTCAGCAACTCTTCAACTCTCTTTGTCTTTCTCTCGATGGTTAAAAACGACAACAATCCGACGCATCCAGTGCAATTAATTAAGCACAATTAGGAAAGCATCCATCGCGAATTATCGATCGGTTTTGTGTAATGATATCCCCGGCATCGATAACTGCAAGACAATTATATAAAGATAACAAAACAAGAAACGTATCAGAGCAAGAGCCGCAACAGTTTCGCGGAACTGCGCTAATTTCGCATTTTTAAACTTCAATTCCCAGCGACGCAATTCAATTCAATACAAAAAGGAAATGTTAAGTAAAACTGCGCAATAAATGTAAGTAAGGGAAAATATTCATCTAATTCATATTGAAATAATGCTTGAAGTAAAACAACAAGTTTTATACTTAAACTAAAAGAAACACGTTACGAATATTATTTATTTACAAGTTCTACTACTTTATAAGAATACAGCTTCATTTAAAAAGAAATTAAACTAGTGAAGATACTGAAATTATCTTAAAATGTTTACTTATGTAAGTAAATTTAACAGAATCTAAAATATTAAAATTCTCAATAAATGTACTTACACATGTGATCAGTAATCAACTAATCGTGAATAAACAGCTTAAATATTGTTAGTAAGTGTAAAAAAAATATAACTTAATTAGATATGTGAAACTTTAGGTTTAGTAAAATTACATTTAATGCAATTATAGTTTAAATACAAACGTGTGAAGATAATTTTGGTAATCACATTTATTTTACTAAATCGAACATAACTAAAATATATAGGAATATAGATGAAGTTTTTGTTCAAAATTCCAATTAATATCTTATAAACAAAATCTTGTTAACTAAAACTATAAATACTAAGCATTAAAGTTTTATTATTATTGTATAATAAATATACTATTCACTTACGTGTATAATATATGTAGTTAAATATGCAATAAAGTAATGAATTTTGAATAGAAATCAAAAGCGCTGAAGTTACTTTTATTTTCTAAAATTTGCTACATTTATTCTTCAAAAAAAAAATAGTCATACTTAAATCAACTATCATAAAATTACTAAAATATTTGGTATGAGATAATATGAAAACACACATAAATCTTTGCCGTATAAATATATTATAAGAATGAAATATTCCACTTATTAAATATTATTTTAAATGCGTTATGTTATATGAAAAAATGTATAAAACAAAATCAGATGTTTACATTATCTCCATTTTTATAGTAATTAACTAAATACAAAGTTAATTAAAATAATATATATTAGGTAATGTAATTGCTGCACGAAAATCATTTAAATTCGTCGAAAAATGATTTATAATAATTATTATAAACATTGAAGTTGCGTTGATATTTAAATTAATAAAATTATAGTATGTTTAACAATTGAAATTATTATAGATGATTAATGTGACATTTATAAATACTTTTTAAAACACTTGGTAATCGATTAATTAAAATCACGTGTTAGGAGGTATTCTTTAAACTAAATACATTTAAATGTAAATGAGTGTTGAAAGACTCGACTTTCTATCAAAATATAATCCAAATGTGACTTCGGTTAAAAAAAATCGACATTATGAATTTAGTAGGTTACGTTAATTATTGAAACAAATGAATTTTCAATAATTATTCGTTATTTATTAAGTTAAATAAATATTTCAAAATTAAACAGATTTATATTGAATTGATGTCTTTAAGTAACCATTAAATGAAGAAAGAGATTTGGTAAGGAGGAGGAAGTGAAAACAAGATGAATAATGATTCTTCTATACGAAATTTGTTATTGTATATACATATATATTTGATATTGTAAGATTAATGGCCGCCGATTACCATAAATCCTTTAGCGAAAATTTTTTTTTTTGATAGAAAATATGTTACGAAACGCGTCCTCCAAACCACATTCGCCATTTCGCATCCATCAATAAATTCACATCGAAAATAAATTATATACATTCTTCTTCGTCTTCTTCATCTTAATCCTTGTCTTGTTCCATTTATTTTACATCGCATATATTACAAGCTAGAATCAATAAATTCGACGTTCGTTTTTTAATATCAATTATAATACACAAAAAACATGATTTAGAAACGATATTTCAAAATTTTAATAATTAAAGTTGCAGATGAAATCGTTTTGAATGTTAATTGCTAAAACAAGCGTTGTCCACATGCGGAGATAATAACATTTTTGACAGATGTTCGTTAATTAGCTGTCATCGATGATGGCCATTAGGTGTCGCACCGTAACTACATTTTTGACAGTTTGCTTGGATTGCTTTGATTTTAATTAATTGGAATCCGGTGATTTATCTTTATTTATATTTGTTTGTCTTTTTGGTGCGTCAACATGCAACGTTCCCAATTACATAACACATCAATGATTCCATCAAGTAAACGTGTTTTAGGAAGAAAAAATCATTTTAATTTTTGGAAAAAAAAATCGAAATGATTCTTTAATTATCATTAGATTTGTTTTTCAAAAGTTTTCACAATACTCGTACTTTCTTTTAGGAAAATTACTGATTGATGTTGTTTTTCTTATTTCTTGTGTAACAGTTTTGTAAACTAAGTGCGAGATATAAAAACAAATAATAATAGAGATTTTGAGCATTTCTGACGTGTCAATGAAAAAATGTACTTAAAAACTGTCACTGTAGAAACTGTCAGAAAGTCTACCAACTTATAATAATGTTACTATACTTCGATGAACGAATCAGAATCTTTTTTTTAACTGTCAAATCTATTATGACAACTTTGACAATTGAATACAGCAGCTGTTGCATGAGTGCAAGAACTTAAATTTAAGTTACTATATTTAGTTACTTGTGAATACCTTTATAACTCATTTAATGTACCTTAAATAAGTTTAATTTGACATCTTAAAAATATTGAGTAACAGGTTATCCTCTTATTATAAAGTAATGTAATTATAAAGTAGAGTATACTGAAAACATCTGTAAGCAACTGTCAATTTTATTATGACAACTGAGACAAATAAAGGCAGCTGTTATGTAACTGCACCAACTTAAGTGTAATTGATTATACTTAGTAATTTGTGAATAATTTTATAAATTTTCAAATTACTTAATAAATTGGATGATTGAATTTTAATTATTAAAAAAAAAAGAATTTAAGAACACGTTTTATCCCTGAACACAAAAAAATATAATTATAAAGTGAATTATATCTCTAGATTATTATGACATCTGATAAAAACTGTCAAATTTATGATGACAACTAAGACAATTAAATTAAGGTGTTATATAAATTTAAGTGATTATAATTTGTAACTTGTATGGTTGCACCAATCCAATTTGACAACTTGAATAGAAAATAATTTAGTAACAAGTTTTGTCTCAAAGACAAATCAAGGCAGCTGTTATGTAAATGCACCAACTTTAAATTTTAGCAACAATACTTATTAATTTATGAATACTTTTATCAAATATTCGAGGAACTTAATACATTGTATGGTTGCACCAATTTTGATAACTTGATATCTTGAACAAAGATATTATTATGACATCTGGTAAAAACTGTCAAATTTATTATGGCAACTGAGACAATTGGAGCATTTGAAAATTGAGGTTTACTATCTGGTTTATTTCTATCAATGTCGTTGGAAATACAGGATTTAGTAACAAGTTTTATCTCAGAATACGAAAAATTGACAAAGACAATTGAAATATTTAAAAATTCAGGAAAGTGGACTTTATTTCTAATATACGTTGTTAAGAAGAATTTAAATTGTTTTATAAGTGCAGTGTTTGTAAAAAAATCCAAATCGTATGTAAAATTTAGTAAGTATAAATTTAAAAACGTTTTATTTTTTAAATAATTAAAATTAAATCGAGTGTTTCGAAGATGATTAATTAATAATTTTGTATTTTTTATTTTTTGAGCTTAAAATGTCGTTGGAAATACTGAATACTCTAGTTTTATTGATATTAAAAAGTCTACATCAATCTTAGTTGGAAGAAAAAATATAATTATGATTATCACATGTGGTAACAATTGACAAATTTATTATGACAACTTCTCATATTAAGATTTTGAAGAATATCAATTGTTTATTAAAAGTACTGTTTCTAAAACTTTTGACTTGAAATCTTTAGTAAAATCAGATCTAATTTTGTACAATTTTTAAATTTGACTAAATTTGTTTACACATATATTAATTACATTTTGAGTTACTTAAATAATGAAGATGAAGATAATTAATGAAATGTTGGTATAAAACGGTTTTGGAAACACTGGCCTTTTGTGAATTGTATTAATAGTAGCGGTGATTGAGGACAGCGTAGATCTCTGCCAGAAGAAAAAATATATCAAATGGTTGTAAACAAACGGACAAGTTGTATAAATCGATGGGATGTAAGGAGAATACACGAGTATCTTCATTAGCAACGGAAGGTAATCTAATTGCGTTGTTAACATCGATGTTTATAAATAAAGATGTCCAATTGAAAAGAATCTTATTTTTCTTTTCTTCTCGAAGCTTTTTTTTTTGTTGTAAATAGGAAGAAGGGAATCGATTCGATTTCGTTCCGAAAACCAAAAATTGTAAATAGCCGATGAATGGTCTTCTCTTCTTGTGGATGAGGATGAGGAGAGACGGATTCCTGGCGGCGCGGATGTGTTAAAAGTATAAATCCGATGGTTGAGTAAACAAAGAGGATAAAACCCGAGATTTTCGGCCGGGATTTTCGTTGCGAAGGAGGAGAGGATGAGGAGGATGAAGATTATTATGGATGAGGGAAGGATGAAAATGTGGTATACGAGGAGCAAATAAAAACCAAATGTTCTCGATATAGATACACGTCTATTAACAATTTCCAAACACTTAACGCTCCTACATAAACAAACTGAAATACTTAAACCCACTACTGTAAACCAAGAATACATCCATACATCTCCCTTTATCCTTTTCTCTCTTTATT